TCCTAGATATAGTCCTCAGGGCTTACACTGTTAAATTCTGTATGTAATACATGCTCACTCTGCTGTTTTCTAAGGAGAACTGAAACACATACAGGTTTTTATCCCCCTTGGGCAAGTGGTGTCACTCTAATGCTTCATATATATTTCTCAGAGATAACCTCCCACTACACTATGCTGCATTTTGTCTGGATTGCCTGTATGTAAATAAAACCATCAGCACCAAGGAAGAAACAGATATATCAGCCAAATACTGTTTTCAAGTTCTGGAAAAAGTTGTTTTATATGAATAAATATTAATCTGATTACTACTTTAAGATTATTTATTTCATCTCAGATCTGTAAGCTTATGTAAGAGTGTGTTTAAGATCCATTGCTGACTGCTTTTTTTCTGCATGCAACCATGTTTTGCAAAAAGAAATAATGAAGATCTCATCATTGTCCCTATTAAAGTGGATGTTGAAGGTTTGGTTTCATCTGTTGAAACTGTTATTGACATTACCTTAAGGCCACACACCACTGGTAGTTTGCTTATAGATCCCAAAAAAACAGCACAAGCACATTTTTAAACTGGTGGCTTCTCACACCACTGGTTTTCTCTTCTAAATGTAGGACTAAATTCTGATGAAAGGGATATACATGTGCAGTTGCTAGAAAAGAGCTCACACCTGTACAAAGCAATGGACCTGTGCCCATAGATTTCTTCCAGATGCCAGTAAATGCACCAGTCTATGTGTAATTTTCTTATAGAGTTACTACCATACTATTTTTTTCATAAATCAAAATACATACGAATCCTGTCCCTAAATCAATCAGCTATAATTTTCAGCCCCAATAGTGGCACAGTGTAATAGATACAATTTGTTGCCAATCCAATTTCTTGATCACAGTTGACTGTCTTGGACAATGCTGTGAGTAGTAAGAAAACAAAGCACTTCTATTTCATAGTAATGCCATGGTACTTTACTGACAGTGAAGACTGTTGCTGAGAATCCTGATTATAAAACTGACTTCATACAGTTCCATCCTACGGTATGTTTTTCTAGTTATAATTATCTAATCATGCATTCATTCAACAAGAACTTTGTCTTCACATGAAAGATACCATATTATACAGTTTAAAATAAAATGTGGAACTGCAACCATGTATTTTAGTTTTTCTTGCAATGCTAGAATAAACACAGCCATGCTAGCTTTTGAGAGGAAGCACAGATTAAAGATATGTGTTATGAAATGCATTTCATGTGAATAGATGTCAAAATGGCATACAGTTTCACCCCTTGACTAAGCTAAAGAATTAATTTAACATAGTAAAATTAAACTAGATAGATTACAATGGGTAAAATATTAGCAGAGTATCAAATTCAGATCATTATTACCTGCTATCCTACAGAGACTGTCTTGTTTTTCTACTTCAACCCACCATCCATCCTGCTCACTTTTAGAAATCATATAGTTTGAGAAAGCTATACTGGAGTAGCAGATACAGCCTGCACATGCCTTTGGGGGAGCTAGTAATGCAGAGCTGTTAAATCAAGAGAGCAAATCTTAGGAGCAACACTGCGCATTACAACCTCTGCATCACGCAGCCCAGTGCCGTGACTGCAGGGATACTGCAGGGTGAGAGCACACCAAAGGTACAGCCCTGTTTACAAGCTCTTCACAGTACTTGGATAATAAAAATTACTGTTAGATAGAAAGGAAAAAGAAAATATTGTTACCCTGTGCCATATTAGCGACATTTCCACAGCAGTGGTTTTTTTCAAGGATAAGCAGAATGTGATGTGCTTTTTAAAGAAAAGGAGAAAGAGCTAAGACATCTGCACACATACAGCAGGTAGCTTATTTGGGAGTTCTCTACCTGCGCATGGAAAAGACAAACGTAAGTGCTTACAGTAGAAGCCCCATTTTGGAAGCATTTTTCACCAGAAGTATGTCACAATACTATCTCATGGACACTAACCCCACATATGACATGTGAAGAAGCTAGAGAAAACCGTTTGATAAAAGGGAAGCATACTGAGTGTAGCTGTTCCCTTCATGACCCTGAATCCCATTCAATCTATTAGGTAAGGGCACAGATAGTTAAAAAGTAGCATTTACTGGAGACTCAGGTGCTCAGCTTGCTCAAGGGTGATGCAGGAGAAACTCTCTAGCCAACAGCCATTTATGCCTTCCTCCCGATGTACTTACTGAAATGTTTTTCCCCACTGATTAAGGTAGTTAGGCACGGTTTTCCATGCACCTGCTTTGGGGACTTGCACAGCCCTGTAACCAGTTCAGCTGCACAGGGGAAGGCTACAGGAAACTTGGGTTTCATTGTATAAATTTTTTAAGCATTCATTGAGGTTAGTGGCATCAGACTACATTCTAAGAGAGAATGAGGGCAAACAATGGTTGCTAAAAGATATGAGTATTTAGGAAGAACAGACTTCTTTCTTCTTTACAAAGAGGAAATGACAGAGACAGAAACTGCTTTCTGCTGGGAAAAAATGTACCACATATGCAAAACTGGAAGATGCCTAGGGGAAAAGACAAAGTTGATATCAATGTGAGTGGCATCTTGGGGAAAACCCCAGCTGACAGAAGGAGGCTGCATAGAGGGAAGAGTGCTGGGAACTACTAGACGACTGACTGGCACATATGTGGTTTCTGGTGATTAAAATAAGCCATTTAAAAACAGACCTGCTTGAAAAGCAAAAAAGTAAATTACATTATACTGGATGGAGCAGCTACCAGATGGTCCAGTTACCAGAAGCTACTAGATTTTGTCTGGGGGGGAGGGTGTTGTTGGTTTTGTGGGGTATTTTAATACACACATGCGCTCACACAAGCAAACGCTCATGGGCCAAACTGGACTGTAAAAGCCATCTGGCACTGCCTGTGCAAGTTTACTACATTGCTAAACCTCATTCTCTGTGACATTATTTATGGTTAGAGGACTAATTCCAGTTTCAGCCAGGCAGCTAGGCTGCAGTCTGGAGCTCGAAAATCAGAGGGCATGGAAAAAAAGCAGTGAGCCATAGGGTGGATTCTCAGCTGTGAAGAGACAATTTCCAAAAGGAAAATGAACTTCACTTTCTCTATTCCTAACATGAGTAATGGGATGGTAAAAAGAAAATTCCCCTCATTCTTTGCTATAAATCGAGACCTATAAAAACCTCCCCCCACCCTTTACACACAGCCGAGCTCCACAATCCTTTTCCAACCAGGATTTATTTTTTTACAGTCACCCATTGCTTTTGTCCATCTTCACCAATTCCTGTCCTTCAGGACTTCATAGCATTTAATAAGGTTCTGTTCTCCATTCACTCATCTTCTTCCAGCCCAATTCCACTTCCGTGCTCTGGCATATTAAGGGAGTTGTGATCATCTCCAGGTGAATCCAAAAAATCATAGAATCATAGAATGGTTGGGGTTGGAAGAGACCTTAATGACCTACCACCATGCACAAATGGCATCTCTCACCACAAAACATTTATAAAATACACTTATATCACTCACTATATGACACCTCCTGCACATCTTTTTCTTAATGTTTAAGGAAGAAGTTTAACAATGTTGGCTTGAAATTAAAGGCTTCAGTAACAACAATAAGATCCTAAAGGATCTTATTCTGGTAGTAACTGGGCATTATTTTTATAGAACAATCAAGGCATTCAAAAGAAAGCTGAACTTTCACTGATGAAAGAATCTATCATTGTACTAGAGACAATGTCCTTGCCATGGGGTCTAATCTGGCAAGTGGCTCAATACAGTCAGAATTCAGTTAGTTTCATTAAATACTCCCTTTGGCTGCAATGCAGAATTGGAGGGGAAAAGGGGGCTGTGTAAAGAAGGAAAAAGAAACAGATCTATGAGTGTGCAACAGCAATCTGTATAGAGCTAATTTTCTAGCATATTAAAAGCTACAGCTGTATCATGTATGTTAGGTAACTCTTCCCTCCCAGCTGAGACTGGGATCTGAGGATGCAACAACAGTGTTTCAACACTGTTGCTAGACCAAAGTCCACAATCCAAAATAAGGCTTAACACGCAGTACAAACATAGCCCAGAGTAAACACTTGGCCAATATTTACCTTACAGTCCCTAAAATTCACTGGCAAAGCTTTGAGTTGTGTGAATGCGAACTAGCTCTGATCTACAGAGCATCTTGACAAAGCTTAAAGCACTGCACTTAACATCCAGGCTACTAACATACACCTGTAAGGGCAGAGAGGCCCAGGTTTACTGAATTTATCTATATAGACTTGTCTTTCTGTACTTCAAGAAAATTCAAGTCACTTAAATTGTGGCTGAGGGCATTTACACAGGGACTGAATGTGGTTCAGTTTGTTTTCAATATTCTGAGATGAAAATTTAGAACTCTGAATTAGAAAGTAATGACATTTAAAATATAACAAGAAAAATACTTGAGAAGGCAATAGTGGAAGTTGCAAGCTCCCTTCTGTAAGGCTGCTAACACTTTGTAACCAATTCAACCCAAAATGTTCCTAGGAGAGTAGCAAGCCAGGGAAAACACTATAAAGAACCAATAACTCATTCTAAAATTAATTCAAGTCACAGATAAAACCCGTAAATGCTCTGATCAGAAAAGATGACATCTGCCATGCTTCTTAGCTATTTTCCCCACAGAAACACTCATGAAAAGTAAACCAAATAAACTAATGTGAAAGCTAGGATAGTTCACTATGATTTTCATAAACCCTTTTCCTCTCTCCCCCATCTTAAATGCAGATTTTATGCTTGAAAACACTGTTGAGGAGGCTGATCCAAAGAGATTCAGACCAATTCTCTGCAGAGGTCAGAAACAATGGCTCCACCCCACCTCTGCTTATTGGCCATATATTTCAGACTAACTTCTAAATGCAGAAGTATCAGTACTTTGATTGATTTTAATTAGGCTGTCAGAGTTTCATTTTACAGTAATAGAAACACTAAGCTTCTGTTATAATTCTGTGGAATTTATAGAGAAAGATCTATCCCCCAAGGACATGTGTATCTCTCCACCAAATGTTAGGGCAGACCTCTGAACTCTACGGGACAACCTGAAACCTGCAAAGGCTTTACACATACCTACCATGCCTTTAGTGGAATTTCACTGATGAAAGATAGCTCTTCAAAACTTCTTGCTATAGGACTAGAGGATGACAAATATATTTCTTTACTTCAATTCCCAAGAAGCTGTGTACAAAAACAGTCATGAGTCAGACCAGAATTTTTCAGCCCTTTCCTAATTGCATTGCAAACAAAAGATAGGCTGAACATCTCACTTCTTCAACATGTAAAAGCCATGCTACTTTAAAACAGTGGCACTGGAAAAATACATCTTGTATCACATTTGGTGCATTTTAATGACTTCTGGTTCATCTGAATTCAGATGGCAAATGCATCTTTGCTGATGGTATTGTTGCAGATAGATCACACAAACTAACAGGCATTCCTTCAGATTTAAGTGTTGGACAAAACTAACGACTGGGGTGCATAGCTAGACACGTATCATTGTCAAGCCATACCAAAAGATGAGATCTGTGAGGCTCTCCCCAGGGAGGACGTAACCAGATGTAGCACTGCATGCTCTGTTCCTCTGCTCCTGGAATCCCAGGTTACTCAGTATGTCACCTCCTATTTACAACTAAGCTCTCCCACTAAAAGAAAATACACACATGCAGTTACCCCCACTTTTCTGCAGGGTCCTGCCTTGCCCCCTCTACTTGCAGTGCATTTTCTGGAGAGGGATGAAAGGGTTAAAAGAAAAACAGCCTAATCTCTACACACACATTTGTCACCTTCCCCAAAATAGCTGCAGAATTTGAACACAGTATGCCATTTTCTTCCCTGACAGGTTAATCCGTTTATTATTCATCCATTTAATGAAAATACTGTGTCTCTGCACTAAGAACAAAACAAAACCTCCACCAACACTGGTTCTCTTTAAATCATATTCATAATCTTCCACAATTTGATCTGTCTTTGAATTCAGCCTTATTTTTTTAACTATAAATTCAAAGCAGGAAACCTATTTCTTTAGATTTCACATTGTTGCCTCCAGCCATGTTTATGGAATGTTTTCTGGGTTTTGCAAAATTATCAGCATTTCATTACCTGCTTCTGCAACAGCCATGTATCTACTGCGAAAAGGTCACCCAAAAGTTAATGAACCTCATGCTTAGCCAAACTGCTCTGCTCCTGTGGGACAGAAATTTTCATGAAACTCTGCAAGGCTCATCTCACAAAGTTTCCTGAACATGCTCCAAAAAAAGAGTAGTTAGAAAGTCACGGTGCAAATCTATCCTCTTTTCACAGGCAACTGGCTCTATTGAGATTTCTGCAAAAACATGGGGCTCAAGTTCTCAATGGCACCATTTCCAAAGGAAAACTACTGCAGTGTTTTCAACCTGTCACAGAAGTACTGGGGCCATGTAGCTACACAGAGGAAGTTGGGGCTGTCCAGCCTGGAGAAGAGAAGGCTGCGTGGAGACCTCATAGCAGCCTTCCAGTATCTGAGGGGGGCCTATAGGGACGCTGGGGAGGGACTCTTCATTAGTGATAGGACAAGGGGTAACGGGTTCAAACTTAAACAGAAGAAGTTTAGACTGGATATAAGGAGGAAGTTCTTTCCTGTAAGGGTGGTGAGGCACTGGAATGGGTTGCCCAGGGAGGCTGTGAATGCTCCATCCCTGGCAGTGTTCAAGACCAGGTTGGACAAGGCCTTGGGTGACATGGTTTAGTGTGAGGTGTCCCTGCCCATGGCAGGGGGGTTGGAACTAGGTGATCTTAAGGTCCTTTCCAACCCTAACTATTCTATGATTCTATGATTCTATATTCCCTTCCAGGTTTTAATTCTTCTAAAGAATTTCCTATCTCCACCGGAAGCACCTCTTTTGATGCACTACATACTTTTTTTCTCTCAGACTCATCACATTGGAAGACTGAATTCATTCAGGTGGTATGGCTCTAGATCTTTCTCCCCCTCAGGCCTTTCCTCATGATAACTATGTTGAGCACAGAAGAATTATGTATTTCATTTTGAACTACCAAATTTCACCCGAGTCCTCTTACTCCAGTCCTTATTTCCATCTTATATCCTAGCCTTTTTCTGTACGAACAGTGCCTCCTAACTCCAGCCAGCCAGCATGCTCCCCTGTGTTACAAAGGAAGTGCTAACAGAGACATAAAATAGGAAAAGCCCCATGAACAATATTTGATTCTCTCTCTGATACTTCCTTTCCCAGCACTGACGACTGTTGCCATGTTCTCTGCTTTCCAGTTCCCTCAGGCAGCCTCTACTCCAGCAGCTTCCACTTTGGGACCATACCTGAAGTTTGCTTTTACCAAGGAGTGACATCAGAGAAGTCCAGCAGAATCTACTCTTCGCAAGCCTGTGTTGTTGTACCCCGCTTTGCCTTTCTTAGGTCTGAACATCAGAAAAAAATCTGTGGCCATTTAATTGCACGTTTAATTGGAGCTCACAATGTCCTGAAACACCTTTGTGGACCCTGACATGGTCTCAAAAGTGACACAAGGCTGTTAGTTAGATTTTGAATCTGATCTACTACTTAGGCAGAATAACTGCATGAACATGCAGGAAAAAGATGACTGGATGGTTATTGTTGTTTTATTTAATTTTTTTAAGGGAATGTTCTTGTGCCAGGGAATACATTCAAAAGGAAAATCTAAAAAAAAGGGGGGGGGGGAAATAAAAGGAAAAAATGTGTAAAAGACAAGGGCAGTTGTTCTGTGGTTGTTCTGCTTTTGCACTACAGGCAAATCACTCCAACAAGAGGGATATTTTGTCTTTTTATTCTTAGAGGAAATCATTACAGCATTAAATGTCTGTAGGCGAAGTAGAAATAGAGCAAGACTTGAATTTAAGGGACGTTAATTCAACTGAATGCAAACTCTGCTAGATTCTGTGGTGTCTGGATCTCATTCACTGATAACCAAGAGGTGCTAGTTCAAATGAACTGTGTTTTCCACCTACATCAGCCTCTTAGTTCAAACAATGCCATTCCCAATTGAAAGGGACTATGCTGTCTAATGTTGTGAGCTCATGATTAGGAGCTGGGATTTCCCAAATACATAAACCAGATTAACAGCAAGATAAAAAATTAATAGGACTATATTGTGAGGGGGGAGAAACCCAAAGAAGTTTGCAGAAGCTGTAAAAACTTCTGGTAACCACTAGAAAAAGTCTAGGCAACCTCAAACTACTGAAAGGTTAAAGATCTGTGGTATGCCTCATTGGTCTAGAGATGTTAACCTCACCTCTTATATGTCCCATAAGTGCCCTTTCCAGTTACTGATTATTCTTGGCTCTGAAAAAAAGTCTTCATCTTTCCTTTGAGATGTCCTGGTTTCACCCAAGTACAAAACAAGAAAGTAATTTGGGGTTAGAAAACAGTTCCTTCTCTAGCTGCATTACCAAATCCTAATCTCTGCCCTTAAGAAGGCCTCCTCCCTGGGGCTTTCAGCCATGATCACCTTTTCCATGTTTTCCCCAAGAGTACTATGAGATAGTTCTGTGAGATAACAGCTCACAGAGCTACTGAAGGTCAACTGTTGTTCAAAGCACTCCTTGGAAATTAACAGTATGTGCAGAGGTATAACTCTTAGGACCAGGACTTGTAGAGGCACAAAAGGGGTTGACCAGGTTCGAGCCTTAAGGCACTGCAGCAGTCCATGTGCACACCACAACCACTCAGGCTGGAAGGGACCTCCAGAGGGCTCTGGTCCAACCTCCTTATCAGAGCTGGGTCAGCTGTGAGATCAGACTGGATTGCTCAGGAATTTTTCTAGCTGGGTCTCGAAAACCTCTGAGGACAGACACTGCAGAAACCCTCCAGCCAAAATGTGTATTTTAAAACATCTGTTGTTCAACTGCTGCCTCAGAGCAGCAGTTTTTTCAGGCCTGAATATCCCACTGGTTTTAAGTGAGCAACTGTTCCTACTTATCTGTCTTGACAGAAGTCATCACCATGGCATTGAAGCACCTGGAAAAACTGCCTAAGGGACAATATGGAAATTGCAGGGCAACTCCCAGCACAGCTATGAGGACTCAAGGACAACACAGTGCCCAGTGTGTCTGCAGGCTGCCAGGAGCTAACCGCATGCTCTTATTTCACCCAAAACCTGGGTGACTCCACTCCAGCATGAAACCTCCAGCTGCCTGCCTGCAGTGAAAACAGACGGCGCTTCCTAAGCTGTCAGCAGATGCATAGGTACCATCAGAAGTTATGAGCAGCAGCACAGAAATACACCTGGGCGTAGGTGGAGCAATGAGGCAGGTCATAAACAAAGTAGATGCGGTTCTTAAAAACAGCAGCTCTCTTTGAGAAGTTATGCTTGAAGATGTAATGACCCTCACTTTTTATGTTTATTCCTGAGACTACACAAACTCCACACAACCATCACTGTGTTTCTTTAAGTGAACAAAAATAATGTTTCATACTCTTTTTTTTTTTGACCAACAGACATAATGAATCTGTGCAGGTTCATTTGTTCTGGGGGACTGCATACCCTTAGCGTAATTATTTAACTTAACTGTAACTTACTTAATTTCCTACTAATCCTCAACAAATTTCCTCAGTGCAGATTGTATTGAAATAGCAGATTATAGGTATTAATAGGCCAGAGCAAATGGCAGTTAAACAATGAAACATTTTTTTGCCACTGCCAATAGGCAAGCAACCAACAAGGCATTTTAGCTTGCTTGTGTACCTCAGACAGCAAGGCTAAAATCAAAATACCTGTTGTGAAAATACATATGCCTCTCCCAATTTTAAAGAGAAATTCAAATTTCCCACAAAGCTTAGGCAAAAAAGTCACCATTCATTTTCATATCAAACCATGCACTGCTGTACATTTTGGTATGCAAAAGAGGTCTCAGAATGGAGGAGGTAGGGGGCATGTCAATATTGAAATATACCAAAACATACTGAAACAGCCTTAGATATAACTGCTTTGCAACACTGGCACTTACACAACAGAGAGCCCAAGGACTTGCTGACTTTGGATATGTTTTTGGTCAATTATTCCACAAGGAAAGGACATTAGATTGCTTAGACCTAATAAGCAAGGCAAACACTTAACAACAGGCATGGAAAAACCTGTATTTTTTTTTTCTTATTCCATCATCTGTTTGCAAGATTCACTTGAAATATTAGTAAGTGATATTAGGCCCAGATGCTAGAACATGCTAGTTTATGAGGTCTGATTACTGGCGTGTTAAGTAATGTCTATGGCTCATAGTAAAAGATATGATACACACAGCTCCATTTATATGGTTCAGTTTTGAGTTGTGGGAGTTTCTGAGAGCTGGGGATGGGAAAGGAACAAGCATGACTTGTAAAGCAATAGGCTTTCTAAGTTTTGCTTTTAAAAATACTTTGATGACTAAGTAAGCGTTTAAATGTTAAAAAAGATTTGGAATGAGATCTCACCCAGCTCCCGGTTAGAATACCCGAAGCTAAGCAGAAACAGCTATTTGAGTAAAGAGTTTGTGTTGTGCAAGCAGAACTTTTCAGATCAGACGAAAAGTAGAGATTGCCACCTGCTGACCAAACAGAGGGTAGCAACGAGGACGAGAAAAAGCAGTGAAATCCAGGTTCTGCAGAAACTGCGGGAATTCTGCGCTGTTTTCAGCAGAGCCCTCATCCCACCCTTACTCTTAATTTTTCTCGCCAGCCAAACCAAGACGTGTACTCATAAAGCCCCAAAGCTGTCTACTTTATGTGCAGAAGGAAACAGCTTGACAGAACAAGATACACATTCAAGCAGCAGGTCCCTGGTTCTGTTGGCTTCAGCTGATGAGCTCATATTATCATAGAATCATAGAGAATCTAAGCATCATAGAACCATGCAATGGTATGGGGTGGCAGGGACTTTTAAAGATCACTCTACTCCAACCCTCCTGCCATGGACAGGGACATCTTAGACCAGGTTGCTCAAAGCCCCAGCCAACTTGAACTCTTCCAGGGATGGGCGTCGACAAGTTCTCTGAGCAACTGGTTCCAATATCTCACAATCCTCATTGTAAAAAAATTCTTTCTTATGTCTAATCGAAGTCTCACGTCTTTCAGTTTAAAGCCATTGTCCCTTTTCCTGATGCTACAGGCCTTGGCAAAAAGTCTTTCTCTGTCTTTCTTATAAGCCTCCTTTATATATTGAAAGGCTGTACTAAGGTCTCCCCAGAGCCTTCCCTTCCCCAGGCTGGCCCCCAACACTCTCAACCTTTATTCAAAGAAGAGGTGCTCCTCTGACCATTTCCATTGCCCTTCTCTAACAGGTCCATGTCTGTCTTGTACTGGGACCCCAGAGCTTGATGTAGTTCTCCAGGTGGGGTCTCACGAAAGTGAGGGATAAAGGGAAAATCAACTCCCTTGATGCTCTTTTGATGCAGCCCAGGATACTTAGCTGTCTGGGCTTCA